TCACGATTTGTACTTTTTGGATATATCACACTAAGTGTAGGCCAGTGTTACAGAATAACTGCAAACATGGGAGAAATTCTTTAAATCCGGAGAAGAGCTTTCTTAGGCGATAGTATGACGCTCTTACGACTTTGCGGTTTTTGCAATAAACCCACTAAGACCGGTTTCCGGTCAACGGCCGTGACGCAATTCCGAGCTCATCCACCTGTGAACTCAGCACTTTTTACCTTCACGGCGGTTCTTTTCAGCGTCTTTTTGAAGTTCGAACGGGTTTGTCCTCATAATAGGTGTGCTGTTCACGTTCATACCAAATAAAACCCTATACCATTCATTTTCCAAGAAAATTGAGAATCATATTTGAAGATAACAGTTGTGAGAAAACCCTGAGAGCATTAGGATCTAATCCCATCCACATCTTACAATACTAAAAAACCGTTGAGCATTTTGGCTGCAAATGTTGCAAAACCGAGTATCAGGTCTTAAACAAGAATTTTTTTGACGAGCTAATTGAGAGGTAACATAATCATTGAGTTTTCGATGCTAGATTGGTCAAAATGACGAAAATTGCTTTGACGTCAACTTTAGTTTTCCAAGCCGAAATTTGTGTCCAGTCAGTTAATTGCTTTTTTTGAGCTAATGGGCGGAAAATGGAGTTCTGACATGTTTTTTGTCTCGGTCTAGCGCCTGATATTGTAAAACTTGGTTTTGAGTGTTAACATCAGGAAGACCTTAAGATGCTTCGCCGAAATGTCATAAAACGAGAAAAGTGGAGCAGGTCTATGGCTATTCCTGAATATGATCCTGCCTTGTACATATGATAACTATTCCAGAAATAATATAGAAATTCTAAGAAACTTCTGAGCTGGAAAAGATCTCAAGCTGGTGGAAGTGTGCAAATTTCGGGTCTTTTCAAAGCAAGTAGCTAGAGGCTCGTGTTCTTTTGAGCTCTAATTAAGCTTGCATGATGCAATTTTAACGCGCTGGTTTGAGCTTCAGTATATCATCGTAAAACATTTACCAGGTAATAAAGTTGATTGTTTTTGCCCAGTTGCTGTCATTTTCGGCTGAAAAGGGGACTAAAATGTGTCGTGTCTTGTGAATGCAACCCATAGACGATATGGACAAAAAAAACCTTTGGAGTTACTCGATTTTTTCTGGTTTTATGGGAGTCTTTTTCCAGTTGTGTGCTGACAAT